ATGGAGTTTCCTGATTCCTATCAAGGATTCAATGTTTGTTAGGTTAACTATTTAGAATACGGGAATGGACACCAGCCAAAAAAGTTAGATGATAGGTGTACTGGTAGAAGTTTTAATATGAGTCCCTGGATGGTGGGTAATTTAATAAGTCCTATTTCACTTACGACATGATCTCATGTTCCTTAAACAGAGCTCGCATTTACTCATGTGTTTAAACTTCTAAGGAATGAAGGCTGCTTGACTTTCAGTGATCCTACATTTTATGCAGATTCGTCCAAGGTGATATGAATTGTATCATATCCACATTAAGCTTACAGTCAAACTATTATATCATTATTATTTGTCCCTTGGGTTCATAGTGAAACATAGGGTTTTAGTAGCACGACTCCAGTGCCCTCTGTTCTCTGCAATCTTTTCAACCTGATTTCACGACAGCCTAGAAGCTCTCATTTCTTCGTCACCTGATCTCCTCCATGTCACCCTCGGTTCAAACATAGTGCGAACATTCCATGTCCCCGTGTTTACTTTCGCTTTCATCGACAGAAGACACATCGGCTAATTGGCTTCCTGAAGGCTTTCATCAATCAGTGTCGTTTTTTCTCTCCGGTTCCAGCGGCGAGTAAGTTTGTTTTTATGTTTTTTTATTTTCCTCGTGCTCTGAAGTTTCTGTAGCGGTTGGATTGATTTTACAGGGTAGGGCTGGTAGCCCTATGCCCAACCTTCCCTATTCACCCGGGCTTAGGACAGGCTAGTTAGTAGCTAGTGAGCTAGTTAACCGGGTGAGGTTTTAAAGTCAAATTATTATTTTATTATTAGTCCCTTGGGTTCCGAGTGGAACATAGGGCTTCAGTAGCACGCCTCCAGTGACCTCTGTTCTCTGAGATCTTTTGAACCTGGTTCCACGACAGCCCAGAAGCTCTCATTTCCTCCTCGCATGACCTCCTCCATGTCACCCTCGGACGTCCAACTCGTCGCTTCCCATAGGGATTCCACTCGAGGGCCTGACGCGTGATGTCCTCAGTCGGCCTTCTCAGTGCATGCCCAATCCATCTCCACTTCTTCCTGCATATTTGTTGCGTGATAGGTTCTTGGTTGGTTCGTTCCCAGAGTTCCTTGTTGCTTATTTTTTCTGGCCATCTGATCTTCAGCAACGAGCGTAAGCAGTTGTTGATGAATGTCTGTAGTTTATTGGAAATACCTTTCGTGGCGCGCCAAGTCTCTGAGCCATACAAGAGCACTGACTTGACGTTGGTGTTGAAAATCCGTATCTTGTTCCGCATGCTGAGTGCAGAAGATCTCCACACTGGTTTCAGGCTAATGAACGCCTGTCTTGCTTTTCCGATTCTGACTTTGACGTCCTCGTCCGTCCCGCCTGTAGTTGAAACAGTGCTTCCTAGATAAGTGAAGGAGGTTACTTCCTTCAAGTTTCTCCCGTTGACGGTGATTGGAGTTTGTTGTTGTTGTTGATGGTGGTGGTGCGGTATCTTCATCACTTCTGTCTTCTCTATATTCACCTGAAGTCCCGTCTTAGCTGCCTCTTCTGTCAACTTGTTAGTTTTTGCCTGCAGATCTTCAAGTTTATGTGACATTAGGCACAAGTCATCGGCGAAATCCAAGTCTTCTAGGTTCTTTTCCGTCGTCCAGTGTATCCCCCTCTTCTCGCTGCCTACTGTTTGCTGCATGATCCAGTCCACCACAATAAGGAATATCATGGGGGATAGTAGGCAACCTTGTTTCACTCCTGTCTTCACTTCAAAGGCATCACTGAGCTTCCCATTGTGGATTACTTGGCATGTGGCATCTTCATATAGTTGTTGAATGAGGCGGATAAAGGTTTGCGGTACTCCGTAGTATTGAAGCAGTTTCCAAATTACTTCTCGGTCGACGCTGTCAAAGGCCTTCTCAAAGTCGATGAAGTTGAGGTATAGAGCTGATTGCCATTCTACGCTCTGTTCTATGATGATACGAAGCGTTGCAATTTGGTCAGCACATGATTTGTACTTCCTGAAGCCTGCCTGTTCCGGTCGCAGTTTTGAATCCAGTGCGTCTTTAAGCCTCTCCAGGATGATGCGGCTTAATATTTTACTTGGGGTGGACAGGAGAGTGATTCCGCGCCAGTTCTTGCAAGCACTGAGGTCTCCCTTCTTCGGCAGTTTGACAAGGTAACCCTTCTTCCAATCGTCAGGTACCTTCTCTTCCTTCCACACCTTCTGCAATAGTGGTGTGAGCATGTCCGCTGTTGTCTCTGCATCTGTTCTCAGTGCTTCTGGCGGTATTCCATCTGGTCCTGCTGCTTTCCCACCTTTCAGTAGCTTTATGGCGTTCAGGACTTCCATTTTCGTTGGGGGATTTATGTTCACTTGTAATTCAGCGGCTGCAGGTGGTATTTCTGGACGAAGTGCAGGTGGTGGTCGATTCAAGAGCTTCTTGAAGTGGTCGGCCCATCGTTTCCTCTGTTTCTCTTCTTTTGTAATTAAATTTCCTTCTTCATCTTTTATTGGTTTCATCTGTGTTGGTCTCTTCCCTGATAGCAACCTGGTTATTTGATACAATGTCGTCAGGTCTCTCTTACCTGCAGCCTGTTCTGCTTCACTTGCCAGTGTGTCGTAGAAGTGTCTTTTGTCTTTGCGTGCACTCTTCTTCACTTCTTTGTCCAGTGTTTTATACATTGTGCTCAGTTCCTCTTGTCGTTGAGCATCCTTGCACTGGTTTATCTTCTGCTTCACCATCCTCCTCTCCTCTATCAGCTTCCAGGTATCCGTCGAGATCCATTCCTTGTCTTCTTTCTTCTTCCTTCCTAATACGGCTGTGCAGGTTTCTTTCCACACAGCTTTCAAAGACTTCCAGTGTTCTTCCACACAGGTTTCTTCAGGGATGTCCCTCGACGTCTCCCATTTTGTCTTGATGGCTGCTTTGAAGATCTCCTTTGTAGTTTCATCCTTCAGTTTCCGAGTGTTGTACTTGAATTGAGGTCTATCACCAGCTTCCTTGAAGGCTTTTAACTTGATTTGGAAGGTTCCTTGCACTAGATAGTGGTCTGAACCTACATCTGCTCCTCTTCTTGACCTTGTGTTAAGTAGACTGCGTCTCCATTTTCTTGAGATTGAGATAAAGTCGATTTGATTTTTAGTGTGTCCATCTGGTGAAGTCCATGTCGCTTTGTGGATATCCTTGTGCCTGAACACACTGCCTCCAATCACCAAATCGTTGAATGCACAGAATTCTGCAAACAATTCTCCATTCTCATTCATTTCACCTAGCGCCTCTCGACCCATGGTTAGTTCTCTTCCCGTATTGTCCCCTCCCAGTTTGGCATTCATGTCGCCCATTAGAATTTTGATATCGCCAACTGACGTCTTGTCCAGTGTTGATTGAAGTTGTCTGTAGAAATCCTCCTTTTTCTCTTGCTCTGCATTATTTGTAGGTGCATAACATTGTATGATTGTGACCTTTCTTCCTTTTGAGTTGAACCTTGCTGTCATGATCCTGGAGGAGATTGGTTCCCACTGCATGAGAGCCTTCGATGCTCTTGAGGACATCATGATAGCCACTCCCTCAGTGTGCTCGTGGTTGGCGTCTGGGTGACCGGAGTAGATTATTGATTCTCCAGTTGACAGTTTGGAGAGTCCACTCCCATTCCATCTGCTTTCGCAAATCCCAAGCACTTCGATGTTATACCTTCTCATCTCCTTTGCAATCTGGGCTGCCTTACTGGGTTCAAACATCGTGCGGACATTCCATGTCCCCACGTTTACTTTCGCTTTCATCGAGAGAAGACACATCGGCCAATTGGCTTCCCGAAGGCTTTCACCAACTGGCGTCATTTCGCCTCTCCGATTCCAGCGGGGTATAAGTTTGTTTTCATTTTTTATATTTTGTTTGTGCTTTGAAGTTTCTTTAGCGGTTAGATTTGTTTTACGGGGTAGGGTTGCTAGCCCTATGCCCAACCTTCCCTCTTTACCCGGGCTTAGGACCGGCTAGTAACTAGTAAACTAGTTAACCAGGCGAGGTTTTAAAGTCAAATGATAAATGTTTATTTGATCACCAAATTCTTAGAATAATTTTAGCTTTAAAGTCACAAGCATCTTGCAGAAAAATGTAGCATACAGTCAGAAACGTTCATAATAACTACCGCTATTTTCATTTAAGTACAGAAAATTTTGAGAGTATTGGTTGAAGCTGAGCTTTTACAACATTTACAGCCTAATGTAAGAGTTGGATTAACAAAAGGGAAGAATTTACGCAGAAAGGTGGCATTCGGTTGATATCAACAAAGGGAATGATAGATGCAGACAAGTAACTGAGAGGAACTACTAACACCCAATGACACAATCACTAGCTTTCTGAATAATTAACTCACGTGTCATTTATGAATGTCTGAACTAATGGTTGGTAGAACTACCTCTGAAACTAATCAGATTGCCTTCTAGACTTACAGTTATCTTAGTTTTAGCAGTGAATACCAGTTGTTGGTCAGTTTGATAGGCATTTGTTTATGCTGAAAAACTTCTACGTTTAATCACCCAAATATAGTTTTTCACTGTTTAATCTTAGACGACACACGTTTTTTACGGAATACTGCTTTCGATCCAGTTGTTTGATACATGCTGAAGTTTACCTTCTAAAGTATCTCCATTTAGAGGTTATTACACATTCTAACTCACAGCTTTCACATACATAATACTGCTTCATTGAAGAAGTGAACACCTTTACTTTAGAAATTCCCTTGACCATTTTTATCTACAGTAATAATCATTATTATTAGGTGAGAAAGTATAATTAGAGCTACTTAACGCCAGATATGCTCAGTGTCTAGTCATACAACTAAAAAAGGGTACACTCCCCTAGTGTAAAACTAAAATTTCATCATTATATGGTATCAAAAATGTGCGTCGAAATTATATCGCCACCTAGGCTGCAAGTTACCCGATATAGCACTGCTCTGGCTTGTTGAAAAATGTTGTTCCAGTATATTCTACCTGTTCTGTAAAATAGATCATAGGTTTTAATATCATGTTCGAAGGATCAGTAACAGACTTTTTACTGATGTTCAACCGATAACATTAGCTTTACCAGTACAAAAAGTTAAAAGTTAGAGTTGTTCAACTATAAAAATTTAAATATGCTGTAAATCATATGAACGTTTCATTGTTTATTCTCTCTTAATTTTCCAAATAAAACACAAAATAGTACATAAGTGAATTGTGATTTGTTATATACAGAACAGTTTCGCATTAATTATCATAATCTATTAGGGTCACAATTCAATTAAGAGTTAGGCATTTCATGAAGTGAAGTTGAAGTTATCATGACAGTTCAGTTTCATTGTTGCTATTCAACATCCAAACAGCTGAACTATAAATGAATGTAAGTTCATTTGTCATTTTATGATGAACAGTTGAATGATTTACAAGGAACAGAATTTGAATTGCCTTCACTTCTAGAAGGTGGATTAGTACGAATCATAGGCAATTGAATTTCACTCTCCTTTTGAACTCGTAGAGATCTATTAGAACGTGACGACTTCGCGAGCCGTATTGTAAAACATGGGAGGAAGCATGAGTACACCAGACGATAGATATCTTGACGAAAATTTTTATTTATCCATGCATATATAAATGGATTGTAACAGGTTGATGAATCTCGTGCAAAGTTTGCTGCTGCCCATGCTTTAATTGAGTATGATTTCAGCCAAAATTCTCGATTGATTAAGCCATGTAAGTAGATTGCATGCCTTGGCAGTTGAGATAATCCATACATCAAGGCCACTAATGTCAACATTTTCACCATCTGAAATGCAAATTGAAACCAGAATAAGATCTAAGATATTGGAGATTATATGAAAGGTAGCTCGATTGACCTTGACCTAATTTCCTTAAAGTGAACTTTGTGTTTTACTGTCTACTGAAGTTTACTGTATTCTTTTCAGTGATGATCTTTGCATTGACTTTAGTCAATCTCAAAAGGCTTCAAATACCAGACATCCAGTTTCCTGAATTACTTAAATGACGAAATATGGAATATGTGTTAGCTGTTACTGCAATCTTTGGTTATTTGTGTTGCGTATACGTAGAGGTTAATTGGCTGGGGGCTAATAATAACTGTACTCTATGAACTTATGCTTTCATATTGCATAACCTCTTCTTGACCATATCTGACAAAATCAGAAGTGATATTTATGAGATACGTTTCATCATACGTGCGAGAAACGGAAAAATGAAACCGTCGGTATTCCTCCGATAAATTTTGCATCACCATAGTCTAGTCTCTTATTCACCAGATTATTTTTCAGAAATTGAAGCTGACAGGTAGAAGTCAACTGAATAACTCAAGTAGCACTAGACAGAAGAATCGTTCCAGTCTAACACTTTTTATCGACATCTACAACTAGCGTTACCTGTGATCAGATCTAAGATATTCAGGTTTCACAGCTAACATATTATCACTCACTTATTGGGTTCAGTAGCGGGTGATGAAACCTACTTTAACTTCGATCTACAGTATTTGGAAAGAAGTTCAGCGCATTCAGGTTTCAATTAGGTCACTACCATTCACCAAGACTCAACTATGTCTTAGTTGGAATTAAATGTGCATCGTAGATTTGACTGCCAGACATTGCATTCAAGTTGGCATTGTGTTTCGACCATGCAAAATCTGAAACTAGCAACAAAGGAGCCAAGATAGCTGGGTTGAATGAATTTGCAAGCTTTAGTATAAATGGCTAACTGAATATCCCACATATTTTATCACATATGTCACGATGCAACACAGGTACACATTCATACACAGTACTTAGCGAAATATTACTTGTGACGAAGCAGCAGATAATCTGTGTCTCAATGGCTTAGTGGTTTATTAAGTAATCAGATTTTCGAGAAACTAACATCGCTCACCAGGAGACTAGCAGATCCAGCTGACAAGTACAAAACAGGAAGGAAACAGTGCCATGGGTTTCACTGCTAACCCCTTTTCCATGAACACAATCAAGCCGCTAAGTCAAGTTAATGTGTGAAAAAGTTGGAAGGAATGATGAATACATAATAAATACAAGTTGTGCCATTATCAACGCAGCAAAGTGTAACCAAATGCGAAGTGTAATAACAATGTAATACTAAATAAAATTATTAGTTTTCCCCTGAGGGAAATGGTAACACTCTTAGTATTGTTGACACAGAAGGAAAATGGAACAGCTTTAAGTATAACCGTGTGATTCTGAGCAAAATAGTCATAAGTCAAGCAAGAAGTCTGATGACCATTGTGAGGTAGAGAATTATGAGAAAATTGGAGGCGTAATGAAACAAAGCAGTGGTGAAGGCAATAGCCATATGACTCACTAAAATAAGTGTGTAAGCAGTGAAAAGAAAGCGTAGCGAAAAATAAGTAATGACAACAGCAAAATAGGTTGATTAGTCTGCAAATGACTCACGTGAACATTTCTTACTGACGAGTACTTTTCGAATGCTTAACAGTGGTATCAAAAAGGTTTCCACTGCGAACCACTTAGCCGAGATCACATGGTGTGACCACAGATGTAAAAATGTCATGAACTGGCCAATTATTCTACTGCTAGACAGACTGAGTAGTTGGAAACCGCTCATGTTGATCTATCGTATTTTGCCAGCCAGGACAGAGTGATTCGAACATGAGATGACCATTTCGCTCGTTTGGGTTTCAATTGGAAACCTTGTTGACACCACAAGTGAGAAGCTGAAAAACTACTCAGATGTGAGGAATATCAACGAGGACCATGCAGTTTGTACATCATTTACAAACTACCCCTCCGGTTTTAGGTATACGGTTCTATGCAAGTCCGCTAGCCAGTCAGGTTATGGTTATCGGAACTGAATTAGCTCTATGATCTGAACTCGTATGAGTATAACGCTAATGAGCTCCTTTTCAAATGAGGGAAACGGCCATCTGCTCTTTAAATCACTCTGACTTGTCTAGTGAAATGATACATATCAGGCTGATTGGTTTCTAACTTCCAAGGCCGTTCACTAGTAGTATACATTATGTAAACTACCGTTGCAGTCCACGAGTTCCAGTGTGGCTGTCAGATGCCAAGTGTTCCATACTAAGCTTAGTTTATAGATTTCAATTGATCTACATTACAAATACATCCAGTCAACAACAAGTGTAACATCTATTGTCAAAATTTTCAAGAAGACTCTTTTTATAACGAATCATGAAAAGAAGAGTTACTGGACGGCTTCAGATTGGCACAGAAAATGAATGCTAACCAACGAATACAGACAATTTTCTGAATGCTTGACCAATAAACACTTTTATTTCTATACACAATACTTTTTTGACAGTTTTTCAACTTTGATCGCTGATATTTGTTTGACTATTAAATGCTCAGTAAGTTGATAACCCAAAAATGACTTTTAGCCAGAATTATACTCTCACATACTGATAATTGATTCCCATAATAGTGTTCATAATCAGTTAACAATTTTGCTTCTTAACTGATATTGTGAATTTTAGATCAACTATAAACAAAATATTATAGTGATCAATAACAACTAGGAATTATTTACTTGACGAGAATTTGATCGAAATTTCTACTTATACATAGGAAGCTTTGTTGTTGATTATCGTCTATGACAAGAAATGGTCGTGAAAATAGATGAAAACATTTGATCGGTAAGCGAACATTTAAATTTTCTTTTCAGTCAAACAAGGTGACTTTATCTCACTTCAAAGCGAAGTTAATGTTTGCTTAATTCGTAATCTTCAATAAGAATAATATGTCTACTTGTTAGCTACTCAAAACAACATCATAGATTATCAGTCAAACCAGTAGTTAAGAGTGGTTTGCAATAGCAGTATATGTCAAATGTTTTACTTTACTTCAAGTCTATGAAATAAACCTTTATACTCGAATCATTATAAACATATAGACCATACGTATTACAAATGTTCTGGAAAAAACTGAGCACTCAAGTCTGATTTATTCATTATAAGATCATATTTCAACAGATTTCCAGCGTGTTTAGGAAATGAAAACAACGCTTTCAACCTGACGTTCGCATGCATAAAGAGAGTTTGCCTAATTTCTCAGTCTTTTGCTGACTATGATTTGGTCCCATTTCATCTCCATTCTCATTATATAACTCTCTATTCATGTATTATTACTGCAACTTGTTTTATTATTTTTCTTATGTTACATTCGTTCCTCTTATACAATTGGTTCGCTTACATGTTATATGGATTATCAATGATTTCCTAATTCGGAAATATCTTATGTACTAATAAGCACAATAAGAATACTAGTGTATTTATGAACAGTCAGTAATTATCATTGTTACAATATCATTAGAAAAGGTCAACATTAATGGTTTTGTCGGATTAGTTTTTAATAAAGAGGCAACAATTCTATTCCGACTCTTCTGTTTCGATTATTTACTGTCCAATTTTGTAGAATTTAAACGGGTAACCTTTCTGTTTATGAATGAAAAACGTTATCTAATATATCTACACCTTCAGAGTGGATCATATATCCACTCTCGATATTATGGAAGTTCTAATTAAACCTTTTTTCGCTATCATTCTTTATCTGATTTTCTGCCATCAGACTGTTGTGATTTCTTTTCTAAAGTTTAAAGCATTACTGAGCGTTTGTCAGCTTACTTGACACTAGGGAATTTCATCATAACACAAATGTTACTCATAACTACAAAATAAATGGTGTTTATTTTTCTTATATGATTTTAGAAGAAAACTTCTACTATCTCATATATTATATAAAAAGTTTTGTTTTTACAAGTCACATTCAAAAAAACTTTGGTTAATCAAACTTTGCTTTGCGAACATCAGTATGTTTGGCACCAATCATTATGAAGAGAAAGAGAATGTGAGAAAAATTTATTACTGATGCATCTTATCGATACCAATTACACCTACTTATACTGAATTTATGCATATCATGAGAAATACGACTAAGATTTAACCAACTTATGATCTTTCACCCAATAAGAAATCACTCAAGATCTCAACTTACCAACTCTTATGAATTAAAGCACAGATTAGATGACAACGAAAAAAAAGGTTAGTTTTGACATAACCAGCCTTTAAAACAAATATACCGATCGATATAACCATAGAAGCAATTAGAAGTAGGCCTAAGGATAACCATGAGCTTACGCATCGAACTAAGGTGCCGATCGAGGAAATCATTCTAAGGGGTACGATTGCACCTGACTTCTACAGTTTCTAAGTTTCAGAATAAAATATAGAAGCGAGCTGAAAGAATTGTCGTCGGATCACCGATATCCTCCATCGTCACAGACATATTCATGGACAGTTGGAAACAGATGACCCTTCAAAAATGGAATCTTACTCCAAACATATGGTTCCGATATGTAGGCGATACATTTACCGTACTGAAGTCTGAAAACAATAGTTGGTTCTTGGCACATATAAATTTAGTAGTGAATGCAATCAAATCAACCTGTGACTTACAAAGTGAAGGTGAGCTAGCAATGTGCGATTGCAAGATTAAACGAACATAAGACGGAAGTTTAGACGTTAGACGGACCAGTAATATAGGGATCATAGCTTTTGATTTTAAGAGAAAAAATAGCATTTCGATGTGAAAATATGAAGATCAGTCACACCAGGGGGCTAATTGAAGTTTATGTAACCGTAAAATTAGAATTACTGGAATAATCAGTCGTCTAAAGCACATGAAGATGATCCGAATCGCGTAATGGTTATAGAATATAAAAAAATTGAGATTTTATATCTCTTACATTTCCGGAATAAGTCTCAAAGATATATTTATATCG